AAACAAATCAAAAAAAATCATCAGGACTACAATTATTTATAGAATATGTAGTGAAGGGTGCCTTTTGCATAATACAAATGAAGAGATGCCATATCATGATCACAGTCACATTTGGAAGAAGGTACTAAACCTACAACAAAGGAATCTTACAGATTACTTTCGGCATTCACAAAGAACTGACGCATGCACTTAAAAAACTAGGATCCTCGCAGAGGACTTAAAACTGAGCAAATAAAACGACACCAGCGGGGAAAACAACTGTCTATGATGAGACTAATCACAAGAGATAAAAAGATGAAAACCTCTGGTTCCAACACGCGCTACTCCATTCTGCGGCAGCAGCCGGCAGCGTACGTGCAGCTCTCTGCCCACCAAGGGACGCTCCGTGTCGGCGAGATTCATGTAGTGAGGGGAGAGAGGGGGGTAGGGGAGGGAGGGCGGATCACAGCTAAATAAATAAAGGTAGTTGTGGACTAGAAAGTGTCGGCCCCTCGCGGCCGCGCGCGGCCCGGGCCGCTCTCTAGGGGCTGTCCCTGCCCGGGTCGGGGTCCATGTCGGTGGCGTCCTCGGGCGTCGTGTTGAGCAGCGAGTACGAGTCTCGCAGGATGAGCAGGCGGTGCTGGCCGTTCACCAGGAAGGAGGAGCCTCGCCGCAGCTTCTCCCGGCCCTTCTGCAGGTTCTCCTTGGTGAACACCACCTTCCTGTACGACTGCACGAACACGGCCGCGAGCAGCGCCAGCCCCAGCAGGATGGCGCCGTACGTGAAGATGGGCAGCGCCGTCTCGGCCACCGTCGTCGCCAGGTAGATCCAGCGCTGGATGCTGGGCGTCAGCTCCTCGACGCCCTCCTCCAGCCACATGATCGGGAACACGATGGTGGGGAACTTGGACACGGCGCCGACGTGCGCCGCGTTGCGCACCCACAGGTTGGCCTGGACGCGGACCTGCGGAGCAGAGAGGGGCGAGGGTGTGAGTCGTGGACGGCGACGTGTGGCTCGTGGCTCAGGCCGGGCGGTCCGGGCGCGGGCGGGGCGGGGCGCTCACCTTGGCCGAGATGGTGACGCCCAGCTTGGGCTGGATCTTGAAGTACGTCCCGTGCTGCTGCTCGTCCGGCTTCAGGCCTTCGACAGCCTCGACCAGCGAGGGGTCGCCGTTGAGGAAGTGCGGATACGACAGGTACACGGGTGCCTCTGTGGAACAAAATGGTCTGGTCAGAGCTGGGGCCGATGTGGGGAAATAGCGAACATCATGATGGACACGCTGGAGTACACCCTGGAGTAGGCCCTCGCCTGGAGGATACCGTGCAGGACGCCCTGGAGGACACCCTGGGGTACACACTGGGGTAAACCGTGGAGTACACCGTGGAGTACACCGTGGAGTACACCGTGGAGTACA